AACCAGTCTCCAATAATATTAATATTATTAATATTAATCAGTAATATTCCATTATATGTATGTATTACATTTTGTTTATCCATTATCCATTGATACACACTTGGATTTCTTCTATCTCTTGGTTATTGTGAATAATGCTGCTGTGAACAGGGATGTACAGATATCTCTTTGAGACCTTGCTTTCAATACCCAGCAGTAGAATTGCTGGATCATATGGTAGTTTTTAATTTTTTTGAGGAACCACCATACTGTCTTTCATAGTAAGTGCACCATTTACATTCCCATTAGCAGTGCTCAAGTGTTCAGTTTCCACATCCTCACCAACACTTGTTATTTTCTGGTTTTTTGAATAGTATCCATCGTAATGGGTGTGAGGTTATAGCTCATTGTGGTTTTGGATGCATTTCCCTAATTAGTGATGTTCACTATCTTTTTATATGCTTTTTGGTCATTTGTATATCTTCCTTGGAGAAATGTTTATTCAAATCCTGTGCCCATTTTCTAATCAGGTTATTTTGTTGTTATTGTTGAGTTGTAGGAGTTCTTTGTATAGTCTGGATATTAACCCCTCATCATATATATGATTTGCAAATATTTTCTCCTATTGTGTAGGTTGCCTCTTCACTCTGTTGATTATGTCCTTTGATGCATTGAAGTTTTTAATTTTGTTGTAGTCCAACTTTACTTATTTTTACATTTGTTGCCTGTGCTTTATGTGTTAACATCCAAGAAATCATTACAGATCCAGTGTTATGAAGCTTTTCTTCTGTGCTTTCTTCTAAAGTTTTATAGTTTTAAGTCTTTGATCTAGTTCGAGATAATTTTTGTATATGGAGTAAGGTAAGGGTCCAATTTCATTCTTTTGCACATGGATATCCAGGTTTCCCAGCACCATTTGTTGAGACTGTCCTTTTCCCATTGAATGGTCTTGGCACCCTTGCTGAAAATCATTTTACCACATATTTGAGGGTTTATTTCTTTGTTCCGTATTCTGTTCCATGGTCTGTATGTCTGTCTTTATGTCAGTTCCACACTACTATGATTGCTGTAGCTTTGTAATAAGTTTTGAAACCAGAAAGTATGAGACCTCTTCCAACTTTGTTCAAGAGTGTCTTTTGAAGAGCAGATATTCTTAATTTTGGTGAAGTCTTATTTATCAATTTTTTAATGGATTATACTTTTGATGTATCCGAGAAATCTTTGCCTCACTGAAGATCACAAGGATTTTTTGCTGTGTTTTCTTTTATAATTTTATAGTATGTAGGTTTACATTTATGTCTATGATCCATTTGTAGCTAATTTTTACATGTGGTACAATGTATGAATTGTTCTTTTTTTTTGCTTGTAGTTATCAAGTTATTTCAGCATTATTTGTTGAAAAGACTATCCTTTCTTCACTGACTTTGAATCTTTGTCGAAATAAACTTACCCTGTATCTATGGGTCTATTTCTGGTCTCTCCTGTACTGTTGATCTGTTTGTCTGTGTTTATACTAATACCATACTTTCTAGATTACTATAGCTTATTAAAGTCTTAAAGTCTAGTAGGGTAAAGCTTTCAACTTTATACTTGTTTTCCAAAGTGATTTGGCTATTTTGGTTGCTTTGGATTTCCATATGACTTTTAGAATCAGCTTGTTAATTTTTAACAACAACATAAAAGACTGCTGGGATTTTAATTGGGGTTACATTGAATCCTTAGACCAATTTGAGGAGAATTGTTATTTTAACAATATTGAGTCTTCCAATCCATGAACATTGTACATCTCCCCATTTATTTAGATATTTTCAATTTCTCTCAATGTTTTGTGGTTTTCAACCTACATGTCTTGCATATCTTTGTCAGATTTATCCCTAAATATTTCTTATTTTTT